CCCCGCCACCCATTTCTTTCTCTTTTTTCTTTTTTGAGAAAATAATAATTATAAATTATCAAAGGTTCATGAGGGAGGGAAAAAATGAGGAATTGATACCAAGGCCTCAAGTAGAAAAAATGTTTTGAAAATGATGATGGCAACAAATGTACAAATGTGCTTGACACTATGTTTGTATGTATAGATTGTGATAAGAATTGTATGAGCCCCCAATAAAATGATAAAAAAAGAACTTGGAACTCTTAAGGTAGGGATTGGTCAATGTTGCCATCTCACTGGGCATAAGCAACTCATCACAGAAGCAGGAAGGGGAGAAACTTACTAGTATGGACAAAAAGGAGCCAGGAGTGGAGTGCGTCTTTCGAACTCCAGATCCCTGCACGCTGATTCTCCCTGATCCCGGCACAGGAAGCCATGGCAGGAGCAGCAGCAGAAGCAAGAGCCAGTGTGTGAGAGTAGTGGGTCCCCAGCCCGGGGGCGAGTAACACTGAGCGCATTAGGCCAGAGGCTGCCTTGTGGCGTGGAGTGAACTCCAGGTACTTCGTTGTGGAGCTGGATTTACTGACCCACGGAGCCAGAACTGGGCGCCTTCGGGAATAGTGTGCCCACCGGGCATGTATCTGCAGCGTGCGACACTGCCTAAGCAGGTCATGTGGCCGAGGGGCCAAGTTCCAGAGAGAGCTGGCTGCGGACATGGCAGAGAAGAGGCTGTCCTAACCAGAGGACATTTCTGACGTTAGCGTCCTTAATACACATAATCATTATGAATATGGCCTCTGTGTTCCGTGTGACCACGGCAGTGAATTATTGAACGTGGCCGAGAAGTAGAGAGTGCTGTGGGAAGGATGGTTGGTGTGAGAACTGGTAAGAAGGTGGGAGGGTCTAGGCATTTCTGACCCCAGTCTCCTTAGGAATTGGCCTTGGGCTGGTGATTTGTCCTCCTCTGTCCTAGAGGAGCCGGAGGAGGGCAGGCCTTTTTACAAGGGGAAACATGAAATAAGAAGTCGAGTTTGGCCCTGTCCTTCAGGAGACATGCCACATCCCAGTACTGATTCCTGACATTTTGCAAAGCTAGATGTCGAGTGTACATTTTCACAGCTATTTCTTTTCCCCCAATAGTTTATGAGCAAAGAATTCACATGCCATACAAGTCAAGATCAGTCACATCAAGAAGTGTTGTACAAATGTTTTGAAAATGATGATGGCCACTTATATACAAATGTGCTTGATACAGTTGATGTATGGATTGTTATAAGAGCTGTAAAAGCCCCCCAAAATGATGCATCAAAATTTTTTTATAGCGTTGTACATTCTTCATCACAACCAGTTTTAGAACATTACCTTCAATCTTGTATTCATCGTTATTAACTTTTCATTTCCTCCAACCTCTCTTGCCATACCTCCAATGGACCATCAATCCAGTTACTGTCTCTATAAAGTTACCTGTTCTGAATTTCATATACAGAAAAACATTGCAAAACAAATGAACAACAACAAAACTAATAACTAAGTAAAAACAAAAAAATCCAAAAATAAAATATTATAAACTAGAGCAAAGTTAAATGGACCATAAGGAAGATCAAACCCCTAGTCCACGGTCAGAGGGGCTTGATAGTTCAGGGACTTAATCTACAAGTACTTCCCCTTCACTTAAAAAATAATAAAATGGAACAGTGTTTAAAATGTAAAAGTTTCAAACAGGTTTACATTTTGACCTAATTCCATCTGCCATAATCGACTTTACAGTGGTCTCTGTCTGCTCACAGGGCTATTCCCATCCCTCCACTGTGACCAGAGGGATTCACCGCAGGCTAAATCCATGTGTGGACCCTGAAAATGGATTTTTGTCTTCCACTATCATCCATAACCTTCTGCAAACCAGGTGTTCACAGCCTAAGCTCTGATGCCATTCCCTCCTTTAGATTTGGATGATATGATTTACAATCCTTGGATCACACGGGATGGCATGCTGCTTCCATGTGGACTGGTTGACGCCTCACTTAGATGACAGCTTGTTTGAAAACAAGCCTTTAAGAATCGATACTATTCTTTCTGATAGCCGGGCCTCATCTAGTTTCTTTACTACAAGCAGAGTTATGTCATAAGAACTAATTGTTTTTAGATTAGGGCTGGAATTAAGTGTAAGCCCAAGATTCATTCAGGTACCTGTGGTTTATAAAGATGTCTGGTTCACCTTAGAGACAACATTGTCATTTTATGTTAGGAAGCCTTGTCAATCATCAGCCTGGGGCATCACTTCCCCTGCTATCAAGTCACCATTGACTTATGGTGACCCTATGGGGCAGGGCAGAACTGCCCTGTTTTAGCAACTCTTTCTGTGTAGGAAGATGGATGAAAACAAGGATCTGCCCTTTCCTTCTCAAGCCCCCGTCAGCGAAAAGAGCGAGCACAATGAGCACTACTCGGATGAAGTGAGTATGCCCACATCCAGTGGCCCAGTGGCCCCGCTCCTGCGCATGGGTGCCAGCCAGCCCCCTCCAGAGCACCACGCAGCAGCTGGAAGTGCTGGTCAGATGTATTTGTGGCAGCATAGGTGGAGCCTGAAAATGCACTACTGAATGAAGCGCGTCAGCAGAGTAAGAACTATAAGGCGGGCCAGGCACGTCCATCAAAACCACACGTGTACATGGGAGCAATAGGCACTTCTTCAAAAGTGCATCAGACAGAAGCTTCCCACCACATACACATGCCCTCTGTGAGGAAGGGGCGAGAGAGGTGAACAGGGATACACCAATAAATAAACCAAGATAAAAGGCAGCTAAACAAAACGATGCTACTGCTCACTGTTTATAGCACCCAAAAAGCAGAGGCATGGCAAATGTCCACCAATTGATGGGAACAAAAAACCTCGCTCCTGTGGCTGTTACATTATCTGGTGTCAACTTGAGACTATTAAGAGTATTAAGGGGTGTTTAGCCTGTCAATCAGGTCGCAGCTTGATGACTTCATTTGGAGGCTCTAAGGAGATAAACAGCTCACTAGAGGCCAGTCCCAGACTCTCTGCTTGGATTCCCTCCAAGACATTCCTGATGACAAGCCACATGAAGCTATGCTGATGGAGGCAGAGCCCTGGAGCTGGAGGAGTCACGTGGACACCCACCCCAACGCTGAGATGCTTCCACTGCCATTGGATCCACAAATTTCCACCCATTGGCCTGTGGACTTCCTGCATTTGATGTCTATTGCATGTGTTGCATGAGTCTGAAGAGGAATTTATAGAGTGGTATCAGACATATTGGCTAATATCAGACTTACAGACTTGGTCTTTTATATAAAGCTCTTCCTTATATACATATGAGTCTCCCTGGATCTGTTTCTCTAGTCGACCTGGACTAACACACTGACATTGAGTCGATGTCAGCTCATAGCGACCCTATAGGACAGGGAAGATCTGCCCCGGTGAGTTTGTGAGACTGTAACCCTTGTGGAGTTGAAAGCCCTATCTTTCTCCTAAGAAGCAGCTGGTGGTTTTGAACTGCTGACCTTGCAGCCCAACAGGTAACCGCTATACCACCAGGGCTCTTCAGTGGTTGACCAGACAGACAAGGTGGGGGACATCCCTCAAGCGGATAATGATTCCACATAAGCAGGAGGAAATCCCGTGACACTACAACATGGGGAGATCTTGAAAGCAAGATCCTAGGTGCAAGAAGCTGGGCGCCAAAGACCCCGCCACTGTGTGGTTCCATGTATGTGAAATCCCGAGAGACAGACAGGAGATTGGGGTCTCCTAGGGCTGGGCTGTAGTGTTGGGAGCAAACCGAAAGTGACTTCTAATGGGCTTTCTTCTTGGAGCGTCAAAACTGTTCTACATTTAGATTCTGGTGATGGTTGTGCAATTCAGTAACTATACTAAAAACCATTTCACTGCACACTTTAATTGGGTGAATTCTATGGCAGACCAGTTCCGTCTTAAAGATGGGTTAAATGCACTGGGAATCGAGGAAGAGGATGTTCAAGTGGGTTGTGCTTCCTCTTTGGGCTTCTGGTTTCATATGGGAACCGAGTGAGGTTCACCTACCTTAACCCTGCCCTCAGGCCACTGCCCTCAGACAGTGGGGCCTTGCCTCTGGTCCTGCAGGCTTGAAAACTCAGCATCGGCCTGGGAATAAACTCCAAACTGACAGCCGGGAACGAACCAGCTGCAGGCAGCCCCCCTTCTCCCCTGGTCAAGGAGGCTCGCTCCAGACAGTGCCCGCGCCTCTGCCGGCTCACTGACCGTGCGTTTATCGTCCGGCAGCAGGGTGACCGTCCGAAGGCACGCCCATCCTTCCCAGCTCTGCCAGTCTTAGCCGGGTGGTTTTAAAACACGCTCGGTTTCTCACATACAGTTAGATGGAGGAACTCGGGGTCATCGATAAAGCAATCTACATGGAAGGAACTTAGCACATGGAGAGCCTCCGAAGGGTTGTTCGCCGAGTCTGCCTCCCCAACCGCTTCCCCGGCCCCTCAGACAGACAACCCCCAATAGGAGTGCTGGCTTCCTGTGGGCACTCTGAGAAAACCACAGGATTCCGACACTGGGAACCCCCATGAGATACAGGGTAGACCTGCATGGCTGCTGGCCCAGTTGTTCAGCTCTCAGCTCCTAACTACAAGGTCTGTAGGGTCTGCCGTCGCTTCCATAAAGACTTACCGCTTTGGAAACCCTGTGGGGCAGTTCTGAATCAGAATTGACCGGTGCCTTAATCTTCAGGAAACCAGGTGGCTGGACCTTCCTGCTGCCACACTGTTGGGTGGCTTTGAAACAAGAAGTCTGTGTAGTCCTAGAGACGTGGCAAACTGAGAGATGAGTCCACATTGTGGGACATAAAGCCATAAGCTGGACTATATATTCAGAAACCTTTCCTGAGCTTCTGCTATGTGCCCAAGGAGCCCTGTGGTGCCCTGTGGGTCCAGTGTTGGGCTGCAAACCACAAGGTTGGTGATTCAAACCCACCAGCCACTCAAAAGGAGAAAGATGAGGCTGTCTGCTCCCATCAAGATTTACAGTCTAGGAAACCCTATATAAGGGAAATAAGTCACCGCCATTGAGTTGATTCCAATGCATTGTGACCCTATAGAACAGAGCAGAGCTGCCCCTCTTGGTTATCTGGGCTGTCAGTCTTTATGGGAGCAGACAGCCTCGTCTTTCTCCCTCAGGGCCCCTGGTGGCGTCAAGCTGCCTAGGGTTTGATTTTGGATACGATGTGCCAAACTCACGATTTGGTGCTGAGAAACAAAGTGGATGGACTGGTTTATGAGTCAGGGTTTCTGGGGGCAAGTGATAGAAACCCAGCAGCCAAACAGGAGTGTGTGGGCTCACTAGCTGGGCCGAGTTGCTAGGACTTGCTCTTCTCATCCTTTGTATTATTTTTCCTGTGGGTGGGCTGCTAATACATGGCCTAGAAGGATTTCTCTCTCTTCCCAGCTTTGTGACCTTGGTGGGAGCCCAGAGGAATCTTCTAGCTGGTCCCCAGCCTGTCGAGGAGAGGAGGCATATAGTTAGTCATCATGGGCTGACCTGACAGAGAAGCCAATTTCCTTTCAGGAACCCCACATTTACACCTGAAAGACGGCTCAGCCCATTAGGAGGCTGGTGGCGGTCAGCCACCAGACATTTCAGCTCCAATTGGAAGGGACAGTAAAATCCAAAAAACGAATAAAGCCAAACTCATCCCTATCAAGTCAGTGCGACTCATAGTGACCCTGTAGGGCACGGAAGAACTGCCCCTGTGAGTTTCTGAGGCTGTAAATCGTAACAGAGTACAACGTCTCATCCCTCTCCCAGTGGTGATTTCAAACCACTGACCCTGTAATTAGCAGCCCAATGCATAACCACGATTCCACCAGGGCTACTTGGATGGAAAAATAGTGGTGATTTCTTAGCTAATGGATGACAAACTGAATGACCTGCCTCTTCCTCTGGGCTCTGTCTTCCGTGATGTGGGCTTTATCTCAGACTGGCTTCCTCCAGGATGGGGAGGTCACCATATCACCAGTCAGGACAATACCCAAATACACACAATTTCAGTGCCTATTGCAGGGCCTTCCAACTCATTGAGCCCAACCCAGCCTTCAGGTGAGGAAATGGGTCAAAGACCTCCCAAGGTTTCACATGTAGGCTATGCAAACCCATGCTCGGCTACCAGAGTTCTGGCCTCTGGTCAGCTACTGGTAAATAAGCACTGGATAGAGGCCTTGATGGGTAGCAAACACTCATCACCAAGGAAGCAGGATAACTGTCTCCTGGCCATAAAAGATACCAGCACGATGGAGCCCGG